CACCCTCAGCAAGTTCGCGGATGACACTAAGCTAGGGGGAGAGGTAGATACGCTTGAGGACAGAGATAGGGTCCAGAGTAACTTAGACAAATTGGAGGATTGGGCCACAAGAAATCTGATGAGGTTCAACAAGGACAAGTGCAGAGTTCTGCACTTGGAACGGAAGAATCCCAAGCATAGTTACAAGCTGGGGACCAACCAGTTAAGTAGTAGTTCTGCAGAAAAGGACCTGGGGCATACAGTGGATATGAGTCAACAGTGTGCCCTTGCATTAAGGACGCATTGCATTAAGGACGCATTGCATTAAGAGGAGCATTGCATTAAGAGGAGCATTGCATTAAGAGGAGCATTGGCTGAGGGATTTGGACCTGGGGCATACAGTGGATGAGAAGCTGGATATGAGTCAACAGTGTGCCCTTGCATTAAGGACGCATTGCATTAAGGACGCATTGCATTAAGGACGCATTGCATTAAGGACGCATTGCATTAAGGACGCATTGCATTAAGGACGCATTGCATTAAGGAGCATTGGAGAGGGCAACTAAAATGATTAGGGGGCTGGAGCATATGACTTATGAGGAGAGGCTGAGGGAGTTGGACTTGGGGCATACAGTGGATGAGAAGCTGGATATGAGTCAACAGAGTGCCCTTGCATTAAGGACGCATTGCATTAAGAGGAGCATTGCCAGCAGATCCAGAGATGTCATTATTCCACTTTATTCGGCTCTGGTGAGGCCACATCTGGAGTATTGTGTCCAGTTCTGGGCCCCCCACTACAAAAAGGATGTGGACGCATTGGAGAGGGTCTAGCGGAGGGCAACTAAAATGATTAGGGGGCTGGAGCATATGACTTATGAGGAGAGGCTGAGGGAGTTGGACTTGGGGCATACAGTGGATGAGAAGCTGGATATGAGTCAACAGAGTGCCCTTGCATTAAGGACGCATTGCATTAAGAGGAGCATTGCCAGCAGATCCAGAGATGTCATTATTCCACTTTATTCGGCTCTGGTGAGGCCACATCTGGAGTATTGTGTCCAGTTCTGGGCCCCCCACTACAAAAAGGATGTGGACGCATTGGAGAGGGTCTAGCGGAGGGCAACTAAAATGATTAGGGGGCTGGAGCATATGACTTATGAGGGAGTCTGTTTAGTCTGCAGAAGCGAAGAGTGAGGGGGGATTTGATAGCAGCCTTCAACTTACTGAAGGGAGGTTCCAAAGAGGATGGAGAGAGGCTGTTCTCAGTAATGACAGATGGCAGAACAAGGAGCAATGGTCTGAAGTTGTGGTGGGACAGGTCCAGGTTGGATATTAGGAAAAACTATTTCACTAGGAGGGTAGTCAAGTACTGGAATGGGTTATCTAGTGAAGTTGTGGAGGTGTTTAAGTCTCAGCTTGACAAAGCCCTGGCCGGGTTGATTTAGTTGGGATTGGTCCTGCCTAGAGCAGGGGGCTGGACTTGATGACTTTCTGAGGTCTCTTCCAGCTCTATGGTTCTATGATTCTATTAATTTGAAGCTAGTGGAACTTCACCAGAAGCTGAAGTTTAATTTTATAGGAAAATCATTAGCAAACATGCACATTAGTTACATAAATATTTTGCTATAAATTGTCACATATTGAGCTGCACAAAACTTCCTCTTCCATGACATTTTCCCTAATTTTCCCTAATTTTTGCTCATGCTATAGCCCATGAGGTTTTTTCCCCTCATCTGTCCCTCTGCTTTTCTTTGCTGTGTCCATCATTTCACTTCCTCTTACACAGCTATGTGTTTCTTTTCCCCATGTAGATCTTTTCCATTTACCACACCTCCATGAGACTCCCTCTTCTATTCTCTTTCTCTACTGCTTCTGAGCATCTCTCTTTCACACAAAGTTATTTCCCTGTCCTGCACTCGTGAAGTTCTTTCCTCAACAACAGTCTGGTGCTTCCTCTCTCCTTTTCTCCTGCAAAGAGCGAGTTGGAGGAACTGCTGAGTGGCTGTTTCACAGTTGGGTGACTGGGTGGCTATGGGAACTGGTGGAAGCCATAAGTAAGGGTATGGCTAGTCTGCAGGGTTTTTTTGGGTACAGGAGGTATCCTGAAAAAACTGCCACGTCCCGGGAACGTGTTTGCTCTTCCACTTTTTTTTGCGGAAGAGCAAACGCACTCTTTCGGAGGCCTCTGTATTCCTCGTTCCACAAGGAAGAAGGGGGCTTTCGAATTTTTTTTCCTGAAATTTGGCTCAGTCTGACAAAAAGCCTCTTCTGACAAAAGTATCGGAAAAAAATCCTCACAGTCTAGATGTACCCTAAGAATGATACAAGAAAAACAATCTCTGGCTGCCAAGCAGCAATCTTCAGTGGCTACAGGTGGTGACTGCAACCCAAACACTTTCTCAGTACCAGATACTGGGTACAGAATTGGGATCACTAGCAAAAATCCTTGCTTCCTTACCCAAGTCTAAAAACATAAAATGCATTTCAGTACACAGATTTAGGCAGCCGTTGTTCAAAATAAATTCAGAATGATTAGCTCAAAGGAGAAAAGTCAAAAAACTCTGATTTCATTCCTCACAAATAAAAAACATTGTCTCTGCCTCTTAGCAGCAGCCCAAGGCCAACTCCCAGACATGTAGGCTCTCTAAGTACCAAATTAGTAAAGCTTTTTTATTGTATTAGTATTTTTTTAAACAAAACTTCATGTACACATCTCACAAAGTAAAAATGGCAGCTGGAAGTAACTTCAGACTCAGTAAGCTCATCCTCAATTGAAGCAGCCTATCTGTACAACCCATTCCAATACTGATTGTCCTAATCTGTCCTTAATTTTCCTCATGCAGATGCATCCATTTGTATATTCACAAGGTATCAAAGAATCTTTACCAACCATTATGTTGATCTGTAATGTTAGGGTTCTATAGAATTACTCATTTACAACTCTATGCAAGTCTGAGCTTGTTCAATTACTAACAATATTCTGTTAATTAATGATCATTTACTTAATTAGGCAATACAAGACACATGTTTTAACTCCATGTGTGGCTGATGAATTAAAGAATTCTAATATGTATTTTATTATTTTATAATGCAATTAATTAAAGTATAAACTAATTGTTTTTATTTCACTGCTAACATTTTATTATACGTTTCAGTTTACATTAATGCTTAGTCTTTGAGCTAGTCTTACTAACCTCCTCGAGCAAAGCTACTGGATAGATTTACATCCAAATTGCCTGGCACTACTTGTTTAACCACAGTGGACATTCTTGAAGCCCTCTTTTCAGTGCCTAAAGTTAGTCAAAAAGAATAGAGGATTAAAGAATATATTGTCATTCAGACTAACATTATTCAAATGACAAAAATGTTCTTTTTGTGGTTAACATATCTTAACTGCTGCCATTTTTGTAATTTCAGAGTGTCTTAAACTTGTTTTTAGAAATAATGTGTACATTTGCAACAATATGGAGGGTTAGATATGGCTAATGCAATCAAAGTGTTTAATGATAAATGAAGCAAAGAAGGCACAAATTTGGGACAATGTTACTTTGCAAAAAAAACTACACCATTATTTGGATACACTAAATCAATTCCACCAACTGATCAAAGCCAAGTAGACAAACTTGTTTCTAAGGGTGCATCTACATAGCAGGACTTAACTCAAAATAAGCTACGCAAATTGAGTTATGTCAATTGCATAGCTTATTTCAAAATTGGGAGCATCTACACAGCACTTATTTTGAAATAGAGCACTCATCCTCCGACTTCCCTTACTCCTTGGACAATGAGGGTTAGAAGAGTCAGAGTAAGAAGTCCTCCAGCTTGACAGTATGTTGACATTATTTCAAAATAACTGCCTGCTGTGTAAAAATGTGGACTACGTTATTTCAAAATAACGCTAGTTATTTCAAAATGATGTTGCTGTGTAGACATACCCTAAGATGCTAATTGAGTTAGCTTTATATAAAACCTATCAGGTTATATCATATAACTGAAATAGAATATTGACAAACTTCATAGTGATTTTACTTGTTATATCTAAACTAGAGCGAACTGCAAGAATTTTCAATTTATTTAACCAAAATTATACCTAGAAAAAATTAAAATTCATTCTGACTGGGTAAAACAATGAAAGAACCATTGCTTGTGCACTTTCCACTACTTTTATAGATACATATAAATATATTCATGTAGGATCAACTTGTAACACATTTGCAAATTTTCATGCTATATAAAATAGAGCAGTGTTTCTCAACCTTTTCAGATTGGTGACCCCTCATTTGAAGCAAAAATTTTTTGCAACCTCCTTACATTTAATATTAAAAGACTAAAATATATTAAGGAGAATAATTATAAACTTATACTATACAATTACTATTACTACACTGGAGCTCACAAAATGTCAAGGTATTGGCTGCCCTGAAGTAATTTTGAAAATCTTATTTTCTTTGCTATAGAGTTATAACAACATTTTTAATACCTTGCAACTCTTTGGATTTCCTTTTGTAATCCCTCTGGTGCAACTCGTGGTTGAGATACAGTGAAATAATGTGCCAAATAATACAAAATTATGATCACCAAATTTAGCTACAAATTTGGCCTGACTGACATTGTTCTGAAGAATAATTTAACTTTCAACATTCTCAACACTATAGAAAACTCAGTTGCAAAAATTAGAGTGAATAAGATTTTCAGAAGCTGTAACATTAAAAAGTCATACTGAAGGAGTAAAAGAGTCTAACACAGAGACTACCACAGTGGTTTTACTTTTCTTCATTTTAGTTACAGAAAAGAACACTTTTACCTGGAGACAAAGCAATTGTTGGTCTGACGGTGAGAGTATTACTGCCGTTTATTTTACAGTGGATGGAAACTGCATTGAGTAAGGCTTGCAGATATTTCTCCTGTTCTATGCTGCTTGAAGATTCTAAATTAGGAGGCCCTAAAAGTACAAAATAGATTAAATTATTGCTGTATTATACATAGATTTAGATTAGCTTTACAGATATATCAGAAAATGAATGGTTATTACATTTACTGAAGGTAATTGAAGCAGATATTTATGAAGTCTTGAGAGGCAAGCTATCTCTAATTCAACAGGTTAATCATTAAGGGTATGTCTAGACAGCAAAGCTATTTTGGGATACCGTCTTTTACACGCATCTGTTATTTCAAAATAGATTTTGAAATAACGGGCGCACTATTCTGGTGTCCCTGTAACCCTCATTCCACACAGATTAAGGGATGTCTCAAAATAGAGCATTATTTTGCATTTGAAATAAGCTCCTCAAGTTGTGCTAATTATGAGATAAGGGTTCTGTCTAGATGCACCCTAACATCTGGATGATTTTCGCACCATCCTGTATTAGGAGAAGAACATCACCAGACAGACACTGAAAACTATTTTATTTAAATAAAACAGCAAAATCATGTACTCTGGATTTTTTCTTCAACAGCAAACATACAATATTTTAACAAAACAAGCATAAGAATTTTTTAATTTAGTTAAACGTTCAAGTTTTTTAAAATCAGGTTTGTTTTTATTACAATTGTTTTTAACTAACATAGTTAAATTAATTTTAAAAAAACCCAAAATTAAATTGACTACATCAGCCACGTCAACATGACAAACTTAAAATATTGTCTTCTGCCAATATTGCATCGCACACAGTCATTTTCACCTTCATTTTCCTGTTTGTTCATTATCTGGAAAAGCTTTCCTGCTTTTTTCAGGTCCCTAATGATTTTTCAAGTTGGAATGATTTAGTCCAAAGGAAGAAAAATATTCTTCCTACATCAGCAGAAAAAGTTACTTCTGTTAAAAGCTAGATTGTCACTTAAAGAGTCTCTGAATCCAAGTGCTTACATGATTTCCACCAGTTCCCTTGTGTGACTTTCTTTTAAACATCATCAGCAAACACATATTTCTTTAATGGTTCACCCTTAGTTTATTATAGTTGGAATTATGGAGGGATGATTGCTGGATACCCCTGACATAACCAACTCCTCTTCTTCAGCTGTTAAGGTTTGACCCTGTACCAAGTATTGAGAATATTTGCTAGAAAATAAGCTGTAGATAGTGCTTGTTCCATTCATTTTTAATGCTTATAATTTAACACTGTCTTTGCATATTTCTCTTTTTAAGATCTCACTCAATTCCTTCAAAGTTTCAATAGCATCACAATAAAACAGCCATATCTCTGCATTTTGTTCAAGCCTACAGAAATAGGCTTCAGGGTACTTTGCAAGTGTTCAACATTTCTCTTAAGCCCAACGTTGAGAATTTTGGCTGTGACAGTGCCATCTATTCTTTTCATGATTTTGTTCATCAACTCTCATCAGATTAGGTCAGTTCTTGACATACTGCTCAAAACAGTCCACTACTGAGTTCCATTGCATGTCTTGTGGGAGAGAAAGCTTCATTCCTCTCACTTTTTTCAGAGCAGCTTCTGCCATGCGGTGGTTACGAAAGTATTCTGCAATTTCAACATTAGCCTTTGTTTCTGGAGCACTGACTGAAGTCTTTGGCTAGGAGATGCAGCAAATGAGCACTGCAAACATAAGTTATTAACTTGTGACTCTCTTAACTTTCTTCTAACTTTCTTCTCATATTGGATTCATTTGCAGCATTGTGTCCAAGCTGCATACTAGACATTGAATTTTTTTTCAAGCACTTGTTATACTTTATACTGCTACTTCTTGTGAGTATTCTGCAGTGTGCACATTTCCATTTCCTGGTGTATCAATTGTTTCTATAGGAAGACATTCCCTTCTTCTGTTGTCACACAAACACATGCAACAGGATCATTGTGGACACTGCTCCACTCATCGGGTATGTCTACACTACCCTCCTAGTTCGAACTAGGAGGGTAGTGTAGACATACCCGATGAGTGGAGCAGTGTCCACAATGATCCTGTTGCATGTGTTTGTGTGACAACAGAAGAAGGGAATGTCTTCCTATAGAAACAATTGATACACCAGGAAATGGAAATGTGCACACTGCAGAATACTCACAAGAAGTAGCAGTATAAAGTATAACAAGTGCTTGAAAAAAAATTCAATGTCTAGTATGCAGCTTGGACACAATGCTGCAAATGAATCCAATATGAGAAGAAAGTTAGAAGAAAGTTAAGAGAGTCACAAGTTAATAACTTATGTTTGCAGTGCTCATTTGCTGCATCTCCTAGCCAAAGACTTCAGTCAGTGCTCCAGAAACAAAGGCTAATGTTGAAATTGCAGAATACTTTCGTAACCACCGCATGGCAGAAGCTGCTCTGAAAAAAGTGAGAGGAATGAAGCTTTCTCTCCCACAAGACATGCAATGGAACTCAGTAGTGGACTGTTTTGAGCAGTATGTCAAGAACTGACCTAATCTGATGAGAGTTGATGAACAAAATCATGAAAAGAATAGATGGCAGACTCAGGTTAACAGCTTTACCCCCTAGCAATCCAGCTATTTGCCTGTAACATCTGCTCTGTCGAGTGGACTGTATCTTGAACCATGTTAATGAAGCGTGGGTTCTCAATTATATGGAAAGGAGAGTTTGTTTCATAAACAGCTGGCAATCTTTTAATCAATTACCTCTTTTTGTAATCTGCCGGTTTTTACCACAAACATATCGATGGCTGTTTTTGGATTAAGGACTTTTTTCCCCCTTTTAACTACAGGTAATATACTGTGGTTTTGTAAAAAATGGTTACTTATTTTGTAACTGTTGTTCTTCAAGATGTGTTACTTATGTCCATTCCACCTTACCTTTAGCAGTACCTGTTGGGCCAGTCAGGGAGACCCATGCAGTGGTGCTGCTATACACGCACATATATGCCACTGCTGGCTCGCCACCGCCTCAGTTCCTTCTTGCCAGACTTTCTGATAAAGGGGAGGTGGGCGGGATTTGGAATAGACATGAGCAACACATCTCAAAGAATACGTTACAAGATGAGTAACCTTTTTTCTTCTTTGAGGGCTTGCTTATGTCCATTCCACCGAGGTGATTCCCAAGCTGAATCCCATGGAATTCAGAACCTAGTAGGAAATCAACTGCAACACCACTCAGCCAATGGCTGCATCCTCTCTAGCCTGCTGAGCGATTGCATAGTGGTTAGTAAAGGTATGGACTGATGACCAGGTAGCTACCCTACACATGTCTAATATCGGAACCTGTGCTAGGAACGCCTTAGAGGACTGTGCCCTGGTAGAATGGGCCCTGATAAAGAGGGGCCGGTTTCCCCATTAGGTCATAACATGCCTTAATACATGCCGTGATCCATGAGGACAGGCACAGGGCCGACTCCTGGCTGATGTGATCGCCACAAGGAAGGCCACCTTCCATGAAAGGTGGGACAGCGAACACATGGGCATTGGCTCAAATGGGGGTGGGAGGGCACACATGAGCCCCTTGAGCATGAGATTTAGGTCCCACTGGGGGACCAGCTCTCTAATCTGGGGATAGAGCCTGTCCAGACCCTTCCGGAAACACTTCACTACCATATTGGTGAACCCAGACCCTTTCCCATCCCCAGGGTGAAATGCTGTAATGGCAGCCAAATGTACCTGCACTGAGGAGATGGACAACCCTTGCTGCTTAAGCTCAAGGAGGTGGTCCAGAATCAGAGGGATATGATCCTGAAAGGGTTCTATTCCCTTCTGGGCTGCCCAGCCCGAGGACCTCTTCCATTTGGCCCTATAAGATGCCCTCGTGGAAAGCTTCCTACTTTCCAGCAGTACCCGTCTAACCTGGTCCGAACATAGAAGTTCCCCACTCCTCAACCACGGATCTTCCTGGCTGTGAGGTGGAGGGATTGCAGATTTGGGTGGCACAGGTGACCCTGATCCAGCTCCTGCATCAACAAGTCTGGCAGAAGCGGCAGGGAGATGAGGTCTTCCACTGACAGCGACACCAGAGTGGTATACCAGTGCTGCCTCAGCCACTTTAGGGCCACCAGAATCACCTGGCCTGTATCTCTGCACCCTCAGGAAGACCTCATGCATGAGTGAGAAAGGTGGGAATGCATACAGGGGGCCAGCCCATTAACATGACATCCTGCATTGACCCTGGGGAACTAGAGCAGGTAAGAGCACAATCAGCCACACTTCCTGTTGGTATCTGAGGTGAACAGGTCTAGGTGGGGAGTTCTCCACCTGCAGAAAAGATGGTGGGTCACATCATCCCCGAGGGACCATTTGTGGGCAGAAAATGTCCTGCTGAGACTGTCCGCCAGGGTGTTTAGAGTCCCCGGTAGTAGGAGGCCTGACGGTGGATCCCTTGTGTGATGCAGAGGTCCCAGAGGGACCTGACAGAGAGGAGAGGATTGAGCACCACCTTGTCAATTGAAATAAAACATCGCTGTTGTGTTGTCCATCAGGACTGAGACACAATTGCCCCTCAGCCAAGGCTGGAATGCCTGACATGCCAGATGAACTGTCCTCAGCTCCCAGACATTGATATGCAGTGACCGCTCTGCTTGGCACCACATACCCTGCATCTGTAGGTCAGCCAGGTGGGCTTCCTATCCCATGTCGGAGGTGTCTGTTGTAGTAAGTTGAGGGTCAGGAATATGGAGTCAGCAGGCCTAAATAGAGGCCTGTAACAAGAAAACAGCAACAGGCCTGCAATCTAGTGAGCAAGACTTTGGTTCAGTAACACAGGAGCGAAGAAAGAGGCCCTACTGATAACTGTGTAATTGTGGAAGTTAGGTCGAGCATGGAAGGACACAGGGAGGCACTGGGTACAAACTGTAAGCCAAAGGAGAGTAACAGAAAATCTTAATAAGAAATGTCTTGGTACAAAGACTCCCCAAAAACTAATGCACATACCAACCTAGGTTCAGGACCAGGTCAGAATTGCCAGCATGAAGGATAGTAAGCCCCCCTTCTGTAAGGTGAGGGGTGGTAACTAGGCAACAGAGGGTGGTAACCTGGTACGTAAAGAAGTGATGTAAGTTGTTTATACCTGTCTATAAAAGGATACCGCAAAGGGTGCTCTCTGGCTGACTTTTGGAGGGGGGTGCACTAGGTGCCTGAACGGCAGGTGTTTCTGCCTATACTTACAGAATGCACAGTAGCTTAACTTTGACTAACTGCTCTTAATATCTGTTATATGGCAATAGGCCTGCCCGGTGTTGGTACCTTGTCAACATGGGCCATAGTGCTCAGTGGTGTAACATTGTACTGATCTCTGTTACCAACTGGTAGAGCTTCGCATTTGACAATAAACTTGCTCGATTGATTTCAAACCTTGCCTGCATCTGTTGTTTCCGGGGCCTCTCAGATCTCCCGTGTTGACCAAAGTGCGTCCTAGATAAAGGGAGTACCGATTGTTACGCACGCAGCCGAAAGTTTGTCATGAACGACGGAGTAGAGGTCCTGGGCCAGACGACGCTGACACTGACAATTCAGACCACCAAAGGTACCAAGGTACAGAACACCAACTGCACCAAGGGCTGCTGCTGGCCAAAGGGGACTCCTCCACACACGTCCCTTTCCTGCAGCCAACAGTCCAGGGTAGACAGGACCTCTAGTGGGATGGTCACCAACATGTTGATGTGATCACAGGCTGGCCTGAAGTACCTCGCTAACCAGCCCTGAAATGAGCGCAGGTGTAGCCTGGTGTACTGAACTACATACGTGCAGGCTGCCATATGGCACAGAAGTCTCATGCAGTTTTTTGCTGTGGTCAGAGGTGCAGCCACAGAATGATATCCCTCATTGTCACAAACCTGGCACTTGGCAGGGATGCCCAACCTGTCATGGCATCCAGCCTTGCCCCTACAAACTCTATAACTTGCGTGGAGTCGAGGACTGACTTTTTCTCATTCAGCATGAGTCCTAGGCGGGAAAAAGTTTCTTGGACCAGGGCTATGTGAGGCAACACAGGGCTATGTGAGGCAAAACTTCTGTCGACAGAAGCCTGTAGTCTAGACATACCCCAAATGTTTTCCTCAAAAATGAGAATTCAAGAATAGCCCAGAAGGAAGACAGGCAGTCCTTAACAGAGAAGTATGACATAAAAAAGTTTACCTACCTGAAGATCCTGCATGTTCAGACATGTTCCTTTCACTATTTTCAATGCATCTTCTTCCTGACAAGGAACACTTCTCATGATGTTGTTTCATTTAGGCAACCAGGCCTTGCATTTCTTTGTTGCACTGTTTGCATTTTGCACACATGCTTGTCTTATACACAGGTACAGGAACTTCATTAAAATATTCCCAAACTGGGTCTCTTTTATGGCTTACTGCCATTATAAGTTTTCTCTTCTAGTGAGAGAACGGTATGGTAGCTCTCAAATCAATGAAGGCTACTTAGAAAGACCTCAAGCACTCTGGCATATGCTGTTCAAACAGTTTCACTTTTGTTTCTATTGATTGTCGCTCGTTCTTACTTGACCTCCAAATTTCTCCTTGTCCCGATCTATTCCATTCCCAACAATTTTGTATTCATTGAACTTTTTGAAACTTTGCACTTTAGAGAGAGGTAAGGGTTTGATTCTGTGTACACAAATTTGCAGAAGCACAATAGGCTTGAGGTCCGCTAGGGTATGTCTACACTACAAAGTTAATTCGAACTAACGGACGTTAGTTCGAATTAACTTTGATAGGCACTACACTAGCACTCCGCTAGTTCGAACTTAATTCAAACTAGCGGAGCGCTTAGTTCGAACTAGGTAAACCTCATTCCACGAGGACTAAGCCTAGTTCGAACTTACTAGTTCGAATTAAGGGGTGTGTGGCCCCTTAATTCGAACTAGTGGGAGGCTAGCCCTCCCCAGCTTTCTCTGGTGGCCACTCTGGCCAACACCAGGGAAACTCTATTGCCCCCCTCCCGGCCCCGGAGCCCTTAAAAGGGCATGGGCTGGCTACGATGCCCGTGCCAGGTGCAAGCCTGCCAGCACCCAGCCAGCAGACCCTGCACCTGGCACGGCTCGAGCCCGCCACCCCATG